TCCCTAAACCCCTAAACCCTAAACCCCTCAACCCTAAACCCCTAATCCCTAACCCCCTGAACCGTAAACCCCTAATCCCTAAACTCCTAAATCCTAAACCCCTAAACCCTAATCCCTAAACCTAAACCCTCAACCCCTAAACCCTACAGTATTAGTCCCTGTGCAGGCTACCGGTTGCAGTCTTTGCCCTGCGGGAAAGGCGCACATTTTGTGGGGGATGCTTTTGCCAACGCCTGTTTTAGGGGTTTAAGGTTTTAAGGTTTAGGGTTTAGGGGTTTAGGGTGTAGGGTTTAGGGTTTAGGGTTTTAGGGTTTAGGGGTTTAGGGTGTAGGGTTTAGGGGTTTAGGGTTTAGTACAGAAGCCTGAAAATCCTTGGTGGGTACTCCTTATAGGGCTCCCTTACGAGAGTTGGGGTGGTAGAATATACCCTTAACCTTGAGCTTCGGGTGCCTTGAAAATAGCTGGGGCGGTATAAATATACCATGAATGCCCTTTTAACCTTAATTGCCTGTCTGTCGGCCTTCATGCAACAGTTACGATATACTCAGAAATCCTGATTGCTACTATTGTAGACTGATGTGGAGCGGAGGGTTCAGGGTTAAGGGTTTAGGGCGAACCAACTAGGGTCTGGGTCCTGGGTGCAGTCGGGAGCACCGTCAATAGGATAGCTTTTACCTGGTGCTGGATTGAGGGTGGCTTTTCCTGTGTTCCGTTTGATGGCAAGCGTTCTTGGGTTGCCAAAGGTTACCCACGCTTCCGTTCGTGCTGTGATTGTTAATGCTGTTGGGCCAGGACCATACCGTATGGTCGATCTGCATTCATAACCCCGCAAATCAGAAGCAGATGAGTTCCGTCCAAGTACGCCTAGAACCATATCCCCTCCAAAACAGAAGGAGCTCAGAAAGACTGTCCCTGGACCCTTAGCAAGCACTTCTTCATGTACTATATACTCCCCGCCGAGAAGAGACAGACACAAAACACCCACTGTGAACAACCCCAAACTGTAAACCCCTGATTCCTAAAGCTTCCGCTTACAAACGACAAAACTCCCAAACAGACAGACAGACAGACGGAGAGACGGAGAGTCGGAGAGACTTGAAAGACAGATTGACTGACTGACTGACTGCCCGGCAGTCCCACTAAGTAGCAAACGATACAGACTGACAGACGTCGCAGACTGGCAGACTGACAGACTAACAGACACAGACAGGCAGACAACAGACAGACAGACAGACAGACAGATAGAAAGACACACAGACGGAAAAAACAGACAGCCTGTCAGACAGACAGACAGAGAAAGATAGAGAGAGAGACTGAGAGACAGTGACAGACTAACGGACACAGACAGGCAGACAACAGACAGACAGATAGAAAGACACACAGACGGAAAGACAGACAGCCTGTCAGACAGACAGACAGACAGAGAAAGATAGAGAGAGAGAGAGAGAGACAGACGGAGACAGGGACGGGGACGGGGACGGGGACGGGGACGGGGACTGACAGACGGACGGACGGACAGACATACAGACAAGCAAAGCATCAAAGAGACAAGGTAGCAAGCAAACAAAACCGCTTGAAATGTCCCCTGAAGTCACCCCGTCGACATGGGTGAGGTGGAAAAGAGTTGTTAGCGGGTGGTTCTCTAAACTAGGCGTTTTGTAAAGGTGCCGTCTTATTTTGGGTTCCTAAACCGGGACCTTAGTTTGGAGAACCATCTAATTGCATCTCTACTTGTCGCAATGGATATTTGAAGTGTGAAAGGTTTCACTTTGTGGGTACTTGGGACCCTCAACCCTACAAACCTTAAACCCTACATCCCAAGCCCTACACCTGAAACCCTATAAACCCTAAACCCCATAAACCCTAATCCCTAAACTCCTAAACCCTAAACCCTAATCCCTAAACCCTAAACCCTAATCCCTAAACCCTGTAAACCCTAAACTCCCTAAACCCAATGTTCAAGAAGGCCTCTGAGCCCTACGCGGATGAGCTTGGTCCGACGCACCGTTTCTCGGATGCCGTCAAAAGTGCAAAAGGTTTAGGGTTCAGGCCCTAGGTTTGGGTTTCAGGGTTTAGGGTTTAGGGTTTAGGGTTTAGGGTTTAGGGTTTAGGGGTTTAGGGTTTAGGGTTTAGGGTTTGGGCCCTAGGTTTGGGTTTCAGCGTTTAGGGGGTTCATAGGGGTTAAGGTTTAGGGGTGTGGCTGTTTGTAGGATCGAACCCAGTTATGTGGGCAAGGGTCTGTATAGAACTCACGACGTAGAAGAAGTCATGGCTGGCGGCGCCGATTTTCCCCAAAACGACAAATCGTCGCCCCAGCTGATCACCACAAGATTCAGAGCCTGAAACCACCGACCCCATCCCCATCCCTCTTGCCCCGTAATGTTGATAAGAACAATCCCGAACTCGAACCCCTAAACCTCGTCTGGCGGAGTCCGAGTTGCTAGAGCGCAGACCCTAAACTGGAACCACGGAAGTGACAGCTTCGCACTGCAGGTTGCATGCCATGCAGGCTCGGCACCTCACAGCGTCCCTCGGCTGGCAAACTGTGCATAATGTTTTCTGCTTGTGGTGGTGATCATGACAATGCTGAAACGGTTAGCGATGACAATGACGATGATGACGATGACGATGAGGTTGATGATGCTGCTCAGGGTGACGATGACCATACAGTCTTTGAGCTTAGGCTTTCGAGTTTAAAATCGTTGGTGCAGGGTGTTCGGGTTGGAGCTCGAGCATCAGTATTCAGGGTTTAGGCTGTGACATGTTGCGTCTAGGACTGAGGCTTCAGCATGGAGGAGAATGTCGGAAGT